ACACAACGTGGTGCGATCATCCCCCTTGCGCGGAGTGAGGGTTCTCGACCCCGCACAAGATGATCTACCCGACCACCATTATGGTTTTACCCCCAAAAACGAAACAGAGGTGAAAAAAAAAAACGGTAACCTGGTTGCCGAGTTAACGAAATGAATTGGCTTCTTTTACAACGTCGTTGCCAAGCGACGAAAGCCCAATCCCGATGGCAAACACCGAGGGGAGGGGCTTGTTTTACAACGTCGTTGCCAAGCGACGAAAACCCAACCCCGATGGCAAACACCGGGGNNNAACTGCCTCGAGGGTGCTTGACCATTTTAACACAACGTGGTGCGATCATCCCCCTTGCGCGGAGTGAGGGTTCTCCACCCCGCACAACCTGATCTACTCGAAGGCAGGAGGGGAGGGTCGAGGGGGGCCCTGTTGTGTGACCACGGGTATGAGTAGAGTTATTTAACACTCGGAAACATACCCAAATTTCTCTGGCGACCAGCAAGTAAGGGTGATTTGAGTTATATATTATAAACGCCAGAGCGGTATATTACGTTATGGTGAAAAAAAACACGTAGCGACCAGGGAAATTCAGCCTCCGCGCCGAAAGGCTGAAACTAGACTGGGGCTGAGAGCATTTTGTTGCACCCGCCAACTTCTTCGCTTCCGTGCCGTTGGGTCACGCCGCATCATCACAGATGGCAGACACCCAACCAAGCAACGCACGCTTGTCGGGCATCACTGCTTTGTGTTCTGTCTGATGGTGCCTGCTGCTGCTGCTGCTGCTGCTGCTCCCTTATTGAAGTATGTATTCTTTTGTTTGTGGGTGGGTGTGCCCTCTCTCGCGCTCTTTGTTGAAGCGCCTGTTGTCTGTCTGTGCCGATCTTCCCTGAGGTCGCTCACACCGTTCCTCTCTCCCTCGTCTCTTCTTTTGTCTCCGCTCCAGCAGCAGCTACAAGCATTTACGCATACAGCAATTGTCAACCGAAAGAAGAGAGAGAGAGGCCCCACGAGAAACCAAACAAATGACACCCCGCAGACACCCTTTCCTCCTCTGCTTATCGCATCTTCCCTACCTACAATATTGACTCATCTGCATCCTCTCTATCTCGCTTGTTTGGCACTTTTTGAGATCATCATCAGAAGTTGAGCGGGATCAAAACTTTTGCACCCACCCACCCACCCCCTGACTTTGCCAAATTTTGCAGAAGTCCCGAGTTTTAAATGTGGATCACATGCAGACCCTACTATGGGTCATTGCCGAATAGACCATAAAAAGCCTAAATTCCCTCCTTGGAGTTTTAAGTAACACTAGTATACGGCACTAGTGCTGTGAGCGCTGATTTGAAGTGAAGACAACAACAATAAAAGGACCAATTCTCTCTCTCTCTCTCTCTCTCTCTCTCTCTCTCTCAGGTTTGGTGAGTCATGTCAAAACCGTGCCGCCTTGCTATGCCGATACAAAACATGTCAGATGCTTTGCGCTCCGCTCATAAACGTGATGTAGACAGGGAAGCGGAATCCCGACCAGGACCTCGCCGCTCTCGTTCCGGATGTTGAACATTTATCTAAACACTGCCCGTCGCCACACAAAAAACACAACACGGTGTAACAGAGGGAGCTGTTCCAGGCGATTCCCAACGGCGGGAAGGGGGACTGCGGCCCGGCTGCTCTGTGGCACTTGATTTACGGCGGGCGTCCTACCAGCCGAGACCTAAAGGAGATGCGGAATCAGGCGGTGGACCAGGTAGGGCTGGGTGCACGGCAGCCAAGAAGCAGAGTTTCAGAGCGATGGAAAGATGAATGAAGCCTTCGTTGCCGGAATCGTGTTGCAGTGCTGGGCCCGCTATAGTGCCGATTGAATAATGCCGGTAAAATCTCTGGACACAGGTAGCGCCCTCAATAGTGCGGGTACGGCGTGCCGGTCCGACACTATTGAGGGCGGCCCCGTTATAGTGCCGGTTGGGCATCACGACGCCCCGCAATAGTGCCGGTTCACTACACACACAACACAGCGCGGTCGATGCTAATAATAATAAACCACACACACACAACCCGTTCTCAAACACAAGAAGACAGCGGACAGACGCAGCACAATAAAGAGGGTAACACGTGCTGCTGCAGACCTGAAAAGCTCTACGCAGAGGCGCACCGGCGCCATGGAAGCAGCAGCAGAGGACAGTGTAACAATGGAGACGCGGCGTTCAACCTAACCAAAGCGGACAAGTCGGTGATCGCAGCGCATTCCGCTAGGCGGGTGTGCCAGGCAGACATGAGAGAGTTTGTCTAGACGATGGGCGTGGTTGTTTGTCTTGCGATGCGCTTCCTGTCGTGCTTGTCGTGATTGTTTTTGCTTGCTTTTTCTTTCAACATCGAAGCGGGTGCCCCAGGCAGACATGAAAGAGTCTGTTATCGCGACGCAGGGGGGATACAGCTGTATGTAGAAGTAGTGGTTGTTTTGTGTTTTTTGCGGTGCCCTTCCTGTCGTGTTCTTTTTTGTTGTTCCCTTTTTCATGTTGCAACATCGAAGAACGGCAACTAGGGCCGAGATTTAGCTTCGTCCACTATTAGACTGATCTTCAAGTTGACGAACGGGAGCTTGATCTGTGTCTTCCTTTCGCCGCCGTCGACTAGTTCTGTTGAGCGTGACCAAAATGCTGTGATCCATGTGAGGCCATTGCCACTGCTTTCTTGCCCACAGAGCAGCTGTTAGTGCATCTCTCTGAAAATTGGCAGAGCGGTACTACTGTACATAGTTATAAATACGCGTTTGAAGGGTTGGTTTGCGCGACATATCAGGATGTGCAGTGCGTGTGCTGAGGCGGGCAGAAAGTAACGGTGCAACATGCGAATATATATTTTTCAACACTCTTGTTGTGTGTTCCACAGGGTGGCGCCATTCGTGCCGCGATGAAGTCTGCCCCCGCCAACGCTAGAACTTCATTAGTTTTGATCCATTTCGTACTCTGTTGGCCCCGCCAAGCGTCAGCGTCACACCATTAGATAATCAAGCACCTCCTCAATAGTGCCGGACCGGTACTAATGAGGAATATTCGAAACTTCAATAGCGCCGAATCGGCACTATTGAGGCACTATTCTGAATAGTGCCGGTGCCCGCTATAGTGCCGATATAGTCTCTGGACATGTAACGGCACTATAGCGGGCCCAGCACTGTATTTGAATTTTCAACTATATTTTTTTTCCGTACGTATTTGGGTCGGTGACAAGCGGTCAGACCACATTCTATGTCGGCACGTCAGTGCTGTAGTTTGTTCTGCATTGCCATCAACATCTCAAGGAGAATGGGTTAGGAACGTCGTGGTTTCACTTGTCCGCAGGGACGAATGCACACTCCGATTGACCAGTACCTGAATGGCCCAACGATTAAGAGAGCAGCGCCTATACAACAAAGACAACTACATCATGACTGGGTAAGGAGACGGTCAGGAAACCCTTCTTTCATCGTTCCTATGGGCGCGAAAAAGAAATGCTCAAGCCACAACAATGACTTTGTGTTGACCCCCCGAACCCGCCATGTTGTTGCTGAACTACAAAGGTTTACAGCCACCCTGCTCGGTACATGGATTTTTTCGACGGCGAGACGGAGGGGAGGCGAAAAGGGATGCTATACAAATGGACAAGACTGATGAGACAAAAGGGCGAGTGGGCGGATCAGCTGTTCATCAACGCCGTCGCCAGAGCACACGAGGTACGGGTGGCTTCCGATGTCATCGCCGTTCGAATAGAGCATGGATCGCTGCTTGTGTTGCCACCACGCCATTTGTTGTGTCGGACTCATTGACACGGCTGACCATCGTACTCACGCACCTGTTCGCAACCTGCGCGTTCGTGATGCTTGTCGTGTCCTATGTTTGCTGCGGCTCGATGCCACCTGGTGTGTTGAAGTACCATCCCGTGTTTCTCCGTCTGTCTGTCTGTCTGTATGTCTGTATGTATGTCTTGTCTTTGTATGTTCTGGCTACTTCCAGGCACCCTTTTGCTTTGTACCACGTAGACAACTCTTCGCGTTTCCTTTTTCTTTGTCGTACCTCGATGGTGAAGGTCAACATTCGGATCCTGGTACCGGAGAAGAACAATACTCTACGTGACGAGCAAGGAAACTACGCCGGCCAGGGCACCGCTCGAAGGACGTACTACATGCTGCACACCGGCGGCAACCACTTCGAGGCCCTCAAGGCGCTTGGCGAGGTCAAGCCCATCGACGGCTGGAAGGTTCAAGAGGTGTGGAAATGATTGTTGGCGGTGGCGTTCGCGATGGTCGTGCTCCATGCCAATGGTTTGGAGATGTTCTAACTGGTTGGTTTTTGTTGTGACGGGTGTTGATTGTATGGTGCTACACTACCGTAGTTCGAGCTGTGCCGACGCTTCGGTATATCGTCGGTTTTCCGACGCGCACGTTTGACCTGACAACGAAGAATCTTTTCCATACGGAGTCGCAAGAGTTGGCGGTCTCAATATGGTAAACATGTCCTTTTTTTTTTTTTTGCGGCGTTGGGGGTTGTGGAGAAGAAAAGCAGCGAGGGCAGGAGCCCCATTCCTCGGAGCTTGTCTCCCGTTTCCGAAATGGTTACTGGCTTTGGCTAACATGTTATCACGAAATGCCACCGAGAACGTTGGGATATCTGTTGCCCACCCTCGAATTCGCGGTGCTTACGGATGGCTTGAATTTTCTTTTTTGTGTGTTTCGCCCCCGTGTGGGTTGTCCTGCACAAAGGTGATGCTCGAGGAGGATAGGTCATCTTCGACGTCGTCTGTTAGGGCGGGAGACCAATAACACAGTCCGAAGGGGCCGAGCACTGCTGCTGCAGGAACGAACGATAAGATACTGTACACACGAATTCGCACAAATATGGGACGGGGGAAAGCCTACAGGGCAGGCAGGGCTTTAATGGTGGCATTTTCGACAAGAAGACATGGTGGAGCTCTCTCGCTTGCTGGAAGTATCGAGATGGTGGGGTATGGCGGGCGGGTGGCGCGGCTAGAGACGGAGAAATACGACGGCACTCATGGTGGAGATGTAGAGAAGATGGTAAACTCGATGACCGTTTTTTCGGACAGCCGGCGGCGTTAGCTTTCGGATCCATGTCGGGCGTCTCCTCGTGCGACGAGAGGGGGGCCGGGAGCTTGTTCCACTGACCATGTTGGCAAAAGTACGGTGAGGTGGGTGAGGAGAGAAGGGTGTTGGAGTTCTGGTGATGTACAGAGTACTTGATGTGAGTACGACTGGCGCACATGCAAGCCGTGCTTGCGCTAGATAGCACTAGTCGAAATCGGCGATGGCATAGATGTGTAGTCGGGATGTAAGCTTTTTTGTGCGTTCTGTGTATGGGGTGGAATAGAAAATGATAGAGGGGTGGTCATGAGCAATACACAGCTGGTGTACTCCCCGGTGCAACAGCGTTCGCAGTGCGAGAATTATTTGCATAAGAAACGGAATACCAGGCACTTTCAGGCTACACCTGCCGAGCGTCCATGTATATTTCCCACAGTAAGAGGGCAGCACGGAGAGAAGAACGGATAGTTGAGGCTCAATTCGCAGCACCCGATATTTCGATCAAGGTTGTGAATGCGTGTCTCTCGTGGGTGAAAAGAGCTCGAGACGGGCAAGCTTGGTGTCGTGCACGATGCGTTTTGGGTGAAATGGTTATTTCTCTTACTTCGGAAATCAAGCGACTGCTGATGCTAGTATGCAACGGAAGTTCTTTGTGCCATATCTCAGGACAAGGCGGTGAAAGACAAGTTGATCTACAGCTGCTATCGTATGATAGCCACCATTCGCCTACGGAGAGCTCGGCTGTAGCTATGTGTGAATATTTCCAGGGTGTATCAATGCATTTTGTTTTGGTGGTGCTGAGCTTGTCTTAGTGTTGAAAGCACGCTCATGCCGAAGGGTGGCACTGGCTTTGGCTCGCTGCATATGTGTGTCCTGTGTTCATTCAAGTGTCGGTGCTTGAAAATTATTAAATTATGCCATGTATGTTTCGTCATGCACAGCCGACAAGGCCATGTCCTAGGGTTCACACGGGGTTGAATTTTCAGGGCACTTACAATGGAACAATCTGAACATGAGCAGTCATGCGATTGCTTTTCGACCAATGTATGAACAGGATGAATATTTCGGGAAATGGACACCAGTGTATCAACCCCCGTTGTCGCTTCGTCGACGTGGATTTCACGTCAATTGTCCGAACGGCACAACACGGCTTCTACAGCATGGCGGGTAGCCTGTCTAGAGGTCTCAACGCCGCAAGCTCGTGATGTTTGGCGGACATTGCGTTGATGTTGCTGCAAATACGCTTGTCATCCCATAATAAATCGTCCCTATCCGAATGTTGCACAGAAAATCTCTAAAGTCATACGTGCCCAATCCATAGGAGACACCTTCGGTGACCCCAGCTAGCTATTAACACAGATACCGCAAGGCAGACGAAATCACACCAAGAGAAGAGCACGACTGGAAAATAAACACAACCCAGAAATCTGAAAGCAGAAACAAGGGAAAATCGCGAGAACCGGGGCATATCGCTCTCCAAAGCAAAAGGTCACGGAAAATTGTGAAACCTAATAGGAAAACCAGTATGCAAGAAAACAAAGAATGCGACCACGGTCGCCAATCGCGACCCCGAGAGAAAACGCATGTCGAAAACGATAAACTGCACGCATCGATATATCCTCGAGCCCGGCTGGGACGTATCCTCCATCTGGTCTTTTCAACCTGGCCATGTGCCGCACACACACCTACCTACCTGTGTTAGCGATCTCGAGGTTACGCATCATGTGCTTTTTTCGCCCCGTTTAGACACAAAACAATAAGTTGGAGGGAAAGATAGCATCTCCATCCACACCAAAGCTGAAGCACGTCGTGGTCGGACCCGAACCTGCAGGCGCAAAGAGTGGTTGGTGGCCATTGCTTGATCGTCGACCGTGCGCGTGCCGCAAGGTCCGCCCTGCGATGAAAGTGCGGTAATCCCGGCAACACAACGGGCCAGCGATGGACGAGCATTTGTGTCTTGTTTTCGTCAATTTGGGGCAATGCCAACACAATCTTTCGCGGCCTAAGGAAGTGTGGTCCGCAGCGCAGGCGCTTGTGGTGGGGAAATAAACCACATAACAGGAGGGGGGGGGGGGGGGGGGGG